TGATCAATACAATTTAATGGAAAAGAAAAGGAAAACTTGCTTTAAGCATATTGTGATGCAGATTTTGCTGGCGATCAAAAAACAAAACGAAGTACGACTGGATATATTATTTTCTACGGAGAAGGAGCTTTGAGTTGGTGTTCAAGAAAACAACCGTTAATAGTACTTTCAAGCACAAAAGCTGAATATGTTGCGGCAGCAGAGTGTTGTAAAGAATTGTTGTATTTAAAAACTTTATTGGAAGAGCTGCAAGAAAAAGAAATTTAAATTGAACTTAACATAGATAATAATCAAAGTGCAATATCATTAATATCAAATGGAGTTGTGAATAAAAGATCTAAGCACATAGATGTTAAATACAGATTTGTACATGACTTATTTAAAGATAAAATAATTAATTAAAAATATTGCCCTACGAATGAGCAAAAGGCTGATATTCTAACAAAACTTGAGAATTAAAATTTGAGAATTGCAAAAAACATATGGTGAATTAGATGGATGAGATTTAAGGAGGAGTGTTAGAATAAACAAAAGTAATTCTCATCCAGCTAATTCAAATTATTTACCCTTCACTATGAATTTAGTTTTTTAAAAGAACTTGACAACGGACTTGTTTATTATTTGAGCATCGTTGTTGCTCTTGATGTTTTGCTGTCTGTTTTCTGATACCGTTTGATTAGATTAGAGCGTTCATGTAAGGCCTTACAATTTAGTTAAATTTATTAATTTACTGTGAGCTTGAAATAAGAAAGATATAAAGGAATGAGTTATTTTTTCTCTAAGAAATTAGATTAAATAATTTAGTACATCTCATATAAAGGTAAATGATATTGTTAACATTTATGTCACTAATAATAATTGTACTGTTCTTTATTTGTTATAAAATTCTCGATTGTTTGTTTTCTCATTAAAGTCAATCTATAAATAAAACATTAATATTACGTGTATGTTATTTCTTTGAATATAATATATAGAATGAAGAATTCAAGTTTCAACACAATTAAAATTTCAACACACGTACCACTCGCGTATATTCGATGCTGGATACAGTTCACAGTTTTTAGTGTTTATGCCCATAACGGTGCGTATATCGCCCGCTACGAACTCACCGTTGAACGCGGTGTTCACTTTCACGCTACCGTGTCTCTCTACAGCGCCCCGCACACGCTCGAGCATTATACTGCAGGCGTCTTCTAAAAATTGACGCGGCTCTATATGTTCACAGTTTATCACCGCACCTGTCATAACGCGCCTCTCAAACGCGGCGTCGATCTCGCGCCAGACGAGAGATCTATCGCGATCACCACCACCACCGCCACCACCACCCACGTGCACAAACCGTCGCTCCAATTGTGTCCTCGCACCCGCAAGGCGCGCGATCCTCGCCACCGTGGTCTGTGCCTTACGGCAAGCCGCTTGACACGGCAGAGTTCCTCCAAATTCTCGATGCACTCGTCGCATCATTGCATCCACGCGAAACACTCCACCAGGGTAGCAACGCGGTCGCACTGCTCCAGCAGTTCGCGTTCCACTCGCTCGTGGTTTTCTATTTTTTTAGAAAAATGTTACTCGGAGCACTTGCATGTGATTTGTTCACACGCCCTGCAACACCTCTGCATATCTACAATGTCATAGTAGTCTGTCGCCCTATCATTGCGCTTAACAATTAAGGAGCACTTTCCACAATCATCAAGGTCGCCATAATCATCGCACTCACTGCATGGATACTCATACCAGTCATCGAGTAGTTTATCCACAGCAGGATACTTATAATTGCGACGTCGCAAAGGTTTATCGTCTATCATCACCACTTCAGCGCATTTCTTACTGTCTGTGAAAATCTTTATGCATCTGCAGTAGTTACAATCGAGTTTATTCGTGATTTTCATCACAACATAATAGTTGCTTTCTGATGTATTGAAATTTCTATTTTTATGGTCCACATTCTTACACTCATCTAGTAATCGCATGTACAGTTCTCGTCGCGCGCGCAATGACCAACAGCGAACAGACTCGTTGTCAACGATTACGTTTTTCACAACGCGCTCACCGTATATCTCTCGATCACGTAGTATCTGCACCGGCGATGTCCGCGCACTATCGTCTTTTTTCTGTAGAGTACGGAGAACGGAGTCCACGTCTACTCTTTGCTCGCCTTCACGTATCTCCTCTTCTCTGTCTGCCTCTTCATCCCAGCATATTCCCTCGAAATTCATGTTTTTTATTTTTCAACATGCACAGAGTGAGCATTCGTTGCACGGGAATACCATACACATGGGTAGTCGACAGTTAGAGCAAGATAGGCTGGAGTAACGACCGAACTTGATCGAGGTCGATAACATAGATTTTTCACCGTCTGCTTACGCCCTCTGGCGCGCCGTTGCTGGCCGCGCGCCACACCGTTCCCACAGTCCCGTATGGTCCTGTAGTGGTCGAGAATTATCGATAGCTGTCACCATCGATAATTAATGCTATCGATAATTGCCACCATCGATGGTTTCGATAGTGAGCGTGAACCTTTTAACTATCGATAATTATCGATAGTTTTCGAAAAATTGAAAAAAAGATACATTTATTTATAATTTGTATACAATATAAGTACGAGACACACACACACACACACACACACACACACACACACACACACTCTCTCTCTCTCTCTCTCTCTCTCTCCCTCTCCCCCTCCCTTCCTCTCCCCTCCTTATCTCCCTCTCTTTCCCAACTGAGGGTTAAATTGTACAATTGTGTTTATAAATTATTTTGTTATTAAAATGTAGACGTTTTACTTTTTACCTTTAACTTTACATTGTAAAAATATATTGTATTTTTTGGATATTAATGGATTAGCGTGGTGTACGTTTTATCATAACTCGAGTTTCAGACAACAACCATGGGGCGATGCATTTCTTGTGGTGCAAGATCATCAAATGGAGTGAAGATGTGTTGCTTTCCGAAAGACAGAGAGAAGAAATCAGTGGACCAAATGCTTAAATAAGCCGAATTGGACTCTAACAGATCATTCTGTTTTATGTGTTTTTTTCTGTATTTTAATGTCATTTTTATTATACATTTAAGAAATAAACTATTGTATCGAGAGAATATAATTATTATTGAAAGTAAAATAATACAGTAACAAATATTCAATTTTAGAAACACTTCGCTCCTGTCATGTGGGAGAAGACACGTGTTGATGGAAAGAAAAAACTAAGAAGTACTGCTATTCCAACGCTGTTTGAGGTACCAGATGCACAGACTGTTGTCACTCGACTGGTGACTCATTGTCACCACAATGATTATTAATATGTATATACGCATATATATTAAATATATCTATACATATATATATTTCATTTATTATCTCCTTTCATCACTATATTATCGACACGTTTAGCACATTATCAATCGCTTGATTTTTTAAAAGATATACTTTCATTACTTCTGTTTCCTGTCAGCTAAAATTGTTCTGTTACTGTATTAAAAAATAAAAAAAATACTAAATATTACACACACACACAAATTAAATACTACAATTGGATGCTTTTATTTGATTTTACTCCTTCAGACTGTCTACTTAATTACATTTGTAACAGTTCTATTAGCATTTACTAATTTTTGTTCGCTGTGTTCACTTCGTTGTATTCACTTCGCTGTGTTCAAACGCTGCGCGCGATTTTCAGTTCTTTCCGGCGTAGTCCTAGTAATGGCGACTTCCGCTCTTATGGCCATACTCTCATTATAGGTACTCTACCTATTTTTAGAGTATCTATAATGAGAGTATGACCATAAGAGCGGAAGTCGCCATTACTGGGACTACGCCGGAAAGAACGGAAAATCGCGCGCAGCGTTTGAACACAGCGAAGTGCACATCTTAACTCCATTTGACGGACTTGCACCACAAGAAATGCATCGCTCCATGGTTGTTGTCTGAAACTCAAGTTATGATAAAACGTACACCACGCTAATCCATTAATATCCAAAAAATACAATATATTTTTACTGTAATTATGGAGAAAACGGCCGACCTCACCAATTTTAATGAAACTAGGCTCATTCGACGCGTTTTTGCACGAAACAAAAGAATCTGGCAGAAAAAAGTGTCGCTCTGCCCTACGAACCGAGATATTAAGCGTTAAAGTTGACGACTATTCAGGTTAGGAAATCTGTCATACCGACTACATGTAATGTTACGAGTATATGTCTTCATATATTTAAAAGGTCTGCCCCGACACTCCCGACAGTACAACTACAATCGTAGAAGTCGTGCGCCCCTCAGCATGGGGGGAGGGGGAGGTGGACAGAGGTCTGCCCCGACTTCAAATTTCGTGCATTCTGTTGGACTCAAACGATACCAAGCGCATGCGCACGAGGCAGCATGAAGAAGGCATACTCGTAGCACTACATGTAGTCGGTATGACAGATTTCCTAATCTGAATAGTCGTCAACTTTAACGCTTAATATCTCGGTTCGTAGGGCAGAGCGACACTTTTTTTCTGCCAGATTCTTTCGTTTCGTGCAAAAACGCGTCGAATGAGCCTAGTTTCATTAAAATCGGTGAGGTCGGCCGTTTTCTCCATAAATACCAATTTATTAATTTAACCCTCAGTCCTCAGTTGTCATATTGGGTATGGCATATTCGAATGATTTTTTCATCGGATTGTACTGTGCAAAAGTATTGCAAAAGTGTTTTTATCATATTTAAAGTAAAAATACAGCAATTCAAAAATCTTACGGATGCAATTCACACAATGCGTTCTTGATGACAGCTCGAACGGGACTAACCCTAACCTTTTGGCTACGTATACTAGTAAGCAGCCTGATACACCGATTCACAGACTCACTAACATACCGATTTGGTCCTACATATGGCGGCACCAATCACGAGAAGGTACGCTTATGGCCATACTCTCATTATAGGTACTCTACCTATGTACTCTCTCTGTCTCTGCCCTCTGCCGGTGCCGGAACGAATTCGCGATAAGATAATCGCGGTCAATCACGGATCGTGGTAAGGAGTGCGGCTGTGCGGCGGCATGTTGTTGTAGTGATTGTAATCGCTATCAATCGCTATTGCGTGTTGTTTTATATACGTTTTCCGACATATTTACGCATTTTGGTGAAAACCCGGCACACTCAGACTGTTCAGAGAAGATCACGATCGCGATTTGGAGGATAAAGTGAAACCGCGCTTGCCGCCGCTCGCGTTGGTGCGAGACGTCGCGATTAAATGAGACGGGGCAGTACTTGGACAAGTATTACGTTTGGTGTGCGGACATGTCTACGGAGACCGCCCTGAACGACGTATCGAACGTTGCGTCGAGGCTGCAGGGTTTACGACTAGCACACGCCGAGGATGACCCGTCCGAGAATGCAGCGGCTGGCAGTTCAACGCCCGGTGGTTCGACGGCGTCTAACGGCAGTGTGGCCGACGGCAGCGGACCGTCGTCAGTGCGGGAGCCGCTGCGGAACATCACCCTTTCTCGAGCACGGCGTGCTCTTAATTTTGTCGGCGACGAAGACCAACCACTGACCTCGTCCATTGTGCGAAGCGAAGCTTCATTCTTGAATAGCGATAAGTAAGTAAATTTTCTTTGTCAACTCTGTCAAAACGTTCGTCTGGAGTATGATAACACATGAAACTAGTATGGTGCTTTTTATTTGGTAACAAATCGACGCAAGTGTTGATCTGTGTTTGCTACTTATTAAATGTCAAGAAAGATAAAATATTTATATCAATTTATATCACTAAATGAAAAGCACCAGTTCTATCTTAGCATTCCAGTAAGTAATAAAGATAGAATGATACTTCTGTTGATTTCTGTCATTGAATAAAATGTATTCATTATTTAATTTAAATTTTTCTTGGAGTATTACGTTGTAATATTTTCATTATGGAGATTGTTAATGTTTGAATATAATAAGTAATGCCTATAATAAGAGCCATTAAAATAGTATAGCGTATATGTTTCGACTCTCGTATTGAATCCTCTTAAGTACAAAAAAAAAAACACAATCAAATCTAATTTCGTAACATTATTGAGCCATATTAAAAACATACTTTTAACATTATTTTATTACATCGCAATTGTGTCCTATCTTGTAGGAATGTTAACATCAATTTGGCAAAATTGTTATAGAAAAAAACGAACTAAAAAATTGTAACTAATTAGGCTTAAAATTATTCTTGAAAAATAGAAATTGTAAAGAAAAATCAGTCACTTATATGTCGTAATATTTCAAATCAAAAGACATGAGTTTCAATCGTGTATCCTATCATTAAACTAGTATATTCACTGAATAAAACACACGAAAGTAAATTTTAATTGTAAGATTAGAGTTACAAAAATTTTTATATAACTTGCATGACAGATAAGATTGGAATGTTGTTAACGATTTAAAATACAGAATGGTAATGAGACATGTAACTCTAATCAAAGTCAAAGTAAAGACAGAATACACAAATTCAAAACACATGTAGGTAATAATAATAATTTAATGTTTGAAAACAATCAAAAATAAAAAAAAGAGAACGATACATGATAAAAAAATAAGTAAGTTAGATAAGAAAAATAAGACAAAAGAGAAAAATAAAGTAAATTAAAATAAAATAAAAATAATAATAATGAAAATAAGAATAAGAATAAACGAGAGGAGGAAGCGCTACGTCTTTGTAGAATTTTAGATTTAGAAGAATGCACCAATAACAATGAGCGCTCACTCAACTGTTGAGTCTGCTGAACGTAGCCATTCTAATCAAAATCATAAGATGTTTGTATTCGTTTAATAATTACCGATGATTGAACAGTGTTTCTATTAATATGATTTCTATGTTAGACTTCCGTATTTTAATGCATCTACTTGTCTGACCGACGTAAAGATGTAATCACACTAGCGATTGCGCGATTGTGATTAACGATTGAGGATTACTTCTTAACCAATCGAAACAAAGCAATCGATGACTGTTTTGCTCTGATTGATTGAAAAGTAATCCTCAATCGTCAATCACAATCGCTAGTGTGATTACGGCTTAAGAGATATCGCAATCTTTGCAGTCAAGTCTATTAACTACATCTGCCTGCAAAGTTATTGGTAGCGGATCTTTCTGAGCTCTAATGAAACACTGTTCAATTTTTGAATGTCTTTATATGCAATCATACTCAGAATCTTTTAATAAAATTTTTTATTTTTTCTGAGATTTATTTTCATTTTTATTTTATTTTAATTTACTTAATTTTTCTCTTTTGTCTTATTTTTCTTATCTAACTTACTTATTTTTTTATCATGTATCATTCTCTTTTTTTTATTTTTGACTGTTTCCAAACATTAAATTATTATTACCTACATGTGTTTTGAATTTGTGTATTCTGTCTTTACTTTGACTTTGATTAGAGTTACATGTCTCATTACCATTCTGTATTTTGAATCGTTAACAACGTTCCAATCTTATCTGTTATGCAAGTTATATAAAAATTTTTGTAACTCTAATCTTACAATTAAAATTTACTTTTGTGTGTTTTATTTAGTGAATATACTAGTTTAATGATAGGATACACGATTGAAACTCGTGTCTCTTGATTTGAAATATTACGACATATAAGTGACTGATTTTTCTTTACAATTTCTATTTGTCAAGAATAATTTTAAGCCTAATTAGTTACAATTTTTTAGTTTGTTTTTTTCTATAACAATTTTGCCAAATTGATGTTAACATTCCTACAAGATAGGACACAATCTTCACAATTGTGACATAACAAAATAATATTACGAAATTTGATGTTAGATTTAATGGTGTTTTTTTTGTGCTGAAGACGACTCAAAACGAGGGTTGAAACGTATACGTTATATTATTTTAATAAATTTTATTTTACACACATCCTGTGTTGGGTCTTATATATATTACTTATTATATTTAAATTGTGAACTTTTATTAATCTTTGTTTTTATTAATATTACTTGATATAGTCATACTTTTGGTACTTTCAGTCGACCACCTACTAATGCAGCTAATATATCGTATTTGGATGGACGAACGCAGAATAATGCTACTTTGGAAAACTCTACTACACAGAATCAACCTGTAGTTATGTACAACTGGCAAGGTACAAAGGCAACGATGCGCGAAAGAATTGTATTCCTCTTTAACAATGAAATACTGTCAGATGTGACTTTTCTGGTTGGAAGAGGAGCGCAGCAACAACGCATACCAGCTCACAAACTAGTCCTGTCCTGTGGAAGTGCTGTATTTGATGCAATGTTTAATGGAACGCTTGCAACAGCTTCTTCAGAAATAGAAGTACCTGATGTAGAGCCTGCTGCATTTTTGGCAGTGCTCCTTTTTCTATACACTGATGAAATACAGATAGATCCTGAAACTGTGATGACAACGCTATATACTGCTAAGAAATATGCAGTGGCTGCTTTAGAAAAGCATTGCGTTGATTTTTTAAAAAACAATTTGACGAGTGATAACGCTTTCTTGCTGTTAACGCAAGCTCGTTTATTTGATGAACCACAATTAGCCTCTGTATGTTTGGACACCATAGACAGATTCACAACTGATGCCTTTACTGCAGATGGTTTCACGGATATTGATATTGATACATTGATGATAGTCTTAGAAAGAGATACTCTTCGTGTTAGGGAATCTAAATTATTTCAAGCTGTTTTAAGGTATGTTGCAATATTGTAGAATGTGTTGTTCATTCTATATATTTGATATATTTTTTAATTATAGATGGTCAGAAGCTGAATGTGTACGGCAGCAATTGCCAGTCACTCCAGAAAATCAACGTCTGGTTTTAGGCGATGCTTTATCTTTGGTTCGTTTTCCCCTTATGTCAAAAGAGGAATTTACAGCGGGTCCAGCGCAATCTGGATTGTTAAATTATTCAGAGGTTGGTATTATTATACAATATTCTTTTGGCACATGATCTCACGTTATGCTAATTGTTACATTTAAAAAAGTTTACACTTTCTGAAACTTTACAATTAAATTTTATAGGTCTTATCTTTATTCTCATATTTCATACTAAATCCTAAACCTTCGGTGGGGTTTCAAACAATGCCACGGTGTTGTATGACAGGCAAGGAACAAACTGTATGCAGATTTCAACATACAAAGAGTAGATGGGGATATTTTGGAACGAGTGACCGTATTCGGTAAAAAATTATAATTTATATTTTTTTTGGACACATGATTAACGATAACAATTTTTAATATTATATTTGATATTATAGAATATTTTAATTTTTACAGATTTAGTGTAGATAGACGTATCTTTCTGATTGGGTATGGCGTTTATGGCAGCACACAAGAACCAGCGATATATGAAGTAACAGTCGAATTAATTCACACTGCATCAGGAAAAGTGATAGCTACAAATGCAACAAGTTTCAGCTGTGATGGATCAAAGTACACATACCGTCTAATGTTTAAAGAGTTAGCGGAAATCTTACCAAATACAATTTATACGGCATCAGCAACTTTCAAGGTTGTTATGTTGTATCTTATTGATTTATTATCTAATTATTGTTACATATGATATAAGAGACTGTAAAAAATATTAGTTTTTATTTTCCAGGGGCCATATTCTTATTATGGCACAAAAGGAATGAAAACAGTGATGGTGGATTGTGATTCAGGAAGTGGAAAAGTAAAATTCAAATTTAGCAATGAGTTGGGAGATAATAATGGCACATCTACTGATGAAGGTCAAATACCCGAGCTTATCTTTTACACGTAATATTATTTGCATACATTCCTGATCCTTGCTTGACTGAGTATCAGATAAATTATATAAATTATGTAAAAAGTATGCCGGATTTTGTCAATTATATATCTTGTGATCATTTAAAACAGTGATTTGATTCGAGTGATCTATAGGCATGCCAAAGGAGTTAACCCAAGATTTTTTTATAATTTTACAGATAATGCTTGTTGATTTTGTTGAATAATGAAATTTTGATAAAAATTCAATACTTCAAAAAATAACGCAACTTTTATAATATTTGCAATACATCAACAATGCCGTTATATATACATTTTGATTTTTCAACAATTTACAAAGTATATTAAAAAGGTGTGCGAATCAAGAGTATTTACAAGGTTGAATTGAATCGAATCTCTGACAATGTTTAAAAACGAATCGAATTTGAATCAAATTTTTACACAATGACACCGGTTAAAAAAAAATTTGAAATCTGAAAAGATTCATTTTGAATGTACAAATATATCAAAAAGTTAATAATGTGACATAAATGTATTAAAAACAATTAAATACCTGTACATTGAAAATCTCATTATTTGAAATTAGTTTATTAGTTTGTTTCTAGTACATAAAATAGTATCACATTATGTGTAACATAATTATTGATAAATTAGAGATTTACATCTTTATATGTATATAAGTAAAATAATAATTACGTTTATATATATACATATATATATATATATATATATATATATATAACATGTATCATTATATTTTAAAGAAATTATAACTGTATAAGTGATTATTTTGCACTGAGAGAAATGTTTTACGCGTGTAACCATTCTTTGTTGATATGTGCCTAACAAAAACTTTTACTTTTTCATTAAAAAAAATTGTGTTGTCCTAAAAATTTTTTATTATTCTAATTAATGTTCTAATTAAAATTTTATTTTTGTAAATTTTGATTATGACAATACAATTTTTAAATGAAAAAATAAAATTTTTCTTAATCATACATCAATAAATTGAATGGTTGTACATACAAAACATTTCTTTCAATGTATCGAAACTTAATTTAAAGCTAATTATTGCACTAAATTTTATTATGTTTTCATTAACTTAAACAAAATGACCAACACTTTAAAAAATAAATAGCATTTTTTTACAATATAAACCAATAAACGCACTTATATGCACAAAAATTGGTATGCACTGATATAATATGCAATGATTGGTCGCAGAAGATATAAAGAAGAGAGAAAAAAAGAGTCACGCATAAATGAAGCAAATAAAATAGGCGAGTAATCAAAATCAAACCAATGATTCGAAATTTTACCTAATTTGGTTTTGAATCTCAGATTTGAAAACAAATCGAATCAAATTTACTGTGATTTGATTCAATTCGATTCGAATTAGACCTAATTCGCACACCTCTAGTATATTATTTGTTTTTCAGATTTAAATATGAAGATTGTGTTTGAATATATCATGTGTAGTTGATATGTTAATTATATTAATTATATAAATAAGATTGAGGTTTAAAATTGGAGATGTATATCTATTTTTCTATCGTTTTAATTGAGATTCGTGTAAACCAAAAATATAGTTGTGTATAACAATGTTAAAAAAAAGAGTTGACAAAAATAAGTATAAGAGAGAGATTGATCAAGTGCACACTCTGATTTCGCCTAAACGTTTCTTCATCAAAATATGTATCAATATAATATGAAACTGTAAGTAATTAAATATATAGCGCGCGCACACTTTTTAATGCAAAAGTAATTAATGCAATAAAATGCCTAAAGTATGTAAAATATTTTTTAGTAAAAATTAGTATTTTGGTAGTTACAGTGCGCAAAGCAATGTAGAACCTGATAGAATCTTGTTATCGTAATTAAGTACGAAAAATAGTCAAACGAAAGTAATATAGAACACCATTTTTAATGTTTTTTAATAAATACTTTTTTCTAATTATTCGACAATTTATTTAAGTATTAATAAAATTTAATGTATTTTTAATGTATTTTTATTTGAAGTGGATAATGAATGGTGCTAGCTAATGAGATAACATTGTTATCCTTAGCATTTTTAGAGATAAGCATATTTTGTAGACATAAGTTCGATATTGTTTTTTTTCTTCGAAGTAGCGCATATATACAATTTATTTGTGATTATATTTAATTATAAAAATAGAGACGCGATGTACATGTAAAATGTTAAACAATTAAATAGATTTATTCCACAAAATATTTTTTTGTAACATTAATATTATTGTCACCCTTTTTAACAAGTCTTTTTTTTTTAAGAATTGATATTGCTTATTTTTTTAAATTAAAATATAGCATGTAGTATTAAAAAACATAAAAACGTTAAATACTTTTTAATAAAATTATCTTCCATCATTGATAAAATAATATTAAATATGGTTTTAATTTATCATTATGTGTCATTAAGTCTAATTGATATGTTACAGATAAAAATATTAAAATTAATTTGCTTTGTAAATATAATACATAATACGGAACAATCAAAAAATTAAAAGTGCAGCTTATTACCCATCAGAAATATTTATCGATATGGCTACGTAGTTCATGTTTTGTGTACATAGAGGCGCTAACAGATCACCTACTAAATAAAAGCAGTCCACTATTTCACTCTTGATCCAAGACTCGAGACTTTCCATTGCTTTCTCTATCTCTGTTTCTATCAGTTTTCATCGTCCATCCTATTCACGCAAGAAGTGTGTTAGTTATGGTCGAGTGATTTTTTAATTATATTTCGCAAACGACATTTACCTACCGGTACGTAAGAAATACGTGATCATTATAATACTTAAGTGCACCTCCCCTGAAGCATTTAAGATAATTGTACAAGTGCGCGTTTGTGATGTGAGATTGTCAATCTCTTTTACGCTGAAGCTTAACCTATTGTTCCAATGATTTATGAGCTTCGGTGCTAGACAGAACTTTATGGCGCGTGCTGAGGTAAATTTTTGCATTCTTTCCTTCTGGATTCATTAGCTAGTGGCTTATTTTTTAATTTAAATTCACAGCCCACGAAAATGTTGGAATCATGAGAATTACTATATTGCTTCCAGTTGTGTACATTTTATCTCTATGGCTAAGGGAAAAATAAGAGGTTCTGACTCTAACAATAAGGTATGTAATTTATTGATTTTGTTTTTTTTTTTTTAATTAATAGCTACTGTATATTTTTGTAATTAGTTAACAGCATCAAATGCAGCATTTAAAAATGGAGAAACATATACATCAGAATTTGAGATTAATGAGACACCACCCAGTGCTAGGACTTTACTTACTAAAGGTTACACGCAAGACGAAATTAATTCGTATTCAGGTAAAATTTCTTTTTAGTTTAAGTTTTATATTATAGGCCTGTTCTTTTTACTGAACTGGTACACAGAGTGCAATAAGTTGAAGTGAAACAGATATATGTTTATTTCACTTCAATTTTCACATTGAAATTTCACTTCAACCAGTTCAGACAGTACAGGCAAAAAGAACAAGCCTTATGTATTCTTTCTTTATATGAATGTACTAATAGATATATACGTGTGTGTGATTGTGTGTGTATATGTGTGTATGTGTGTATATATATATATATATATTACATTATTACATGTATATTATATATATTACTTATAGGAGCAACTGTATCGACACGTGGACGTTTTATGACAGAACAAGAAAAGTTACGTTGTCCAAATGAAAGGCCATTATATCTCTACATACAAGGACATGCAAAACATAATGTTGATTGTATGTATTGTATCATTTTTTAATATTTTAATATATTACTGATTCACATACTTAATAGATATTTTATTTAACAGTGGCAATACAAAAAATCAATGAAATTATTAAAACGGAACATCAGAGTTCGCTAAATAGACCAAGCCGGTTTACAAATGCTCCACCACCTCTTATGAGTTTACATTCTGGAGTTACCAGTGTGGTAAATATATCCTTCATTCGTATCTCGTTTATAATTACAAGTTTTCTTACGTATTATTGATTAATATATGTAATTTGTTAGGAAAAGATTTGTGTTGGTATTGAGAATGCACCACAAGGCTTTGATTTACGTGGGCGAATACTAGGAGTAGGTGATGCAAATTTAATTTATATTAGAGGCGAAACTGGTGCAAATGTAACTTTAAGAGGTAGAGGATCTCAGTTTGTTGATCCAGTTTTGGGAGTAGAATCTCCAGAACCACTTCATTTATACATAGAGTAAGAATACTCAAGATTTTGATGTCATATAGTAATTATAATCAGATAAGCTACAATTAATAAATATTGTTTAGGCATCCAAAGCCAGAAGCACTGCAAAATGCAAAACAATTGGCTATTAACTTAATTCAAACAATACAATCTGAATTACAAACTTATATTCAACAACAGCCGCCACCAGTACAACCTCAACAAGTTATAGAGCAATCACAGATACCTCAAGGTATATATTTATTACGTTTAATTTACAGATAATGATTAGTCACACACATATACATATGTATATACATATATATATACATATATACATATATTTATGTTATTTATTTTTTTCAATATATAGCCCAATTCCAAACTATGAATATTGGTAGCTTAGGTCAGCCAAACGTAGTTGCGATACAGCATCAAGGTAGGCTACACAAATAACGATTGTTATAAAAATATAAATTTTTTTTTCAAGCTGTTGTACATTTTTAACGTAATCACATTTTATGTAATAGATATTATACAACATCCACAAAGTAATGTTGTAACATTGCCTGCAACAATTCTTACGGCTACTGTAGCTGGTACTCCAGGACCTGGTGTATCAGTTCCTCCTCCAGGAGTACATATACCCCCTCATACTGGACCATTAGTTCCACCTCCACAAGCACAAGTATGTTATCAAACTCAAATTAAGTAATATTATTAAAGCTGCTTGGAAAAAAAAAAGTTTTGTAATATAAATAAATATTTTTATTGCAGGAAATACAAACTTTTATGCCACCACCACCTGTTGGACAGGTACAATTAATCGGTCCTCCATCAACAGTAAGTCAAGTTCAGTATCAGATACATCCTGGTCAGCCGTTACAAATCCAGGGAATTCAACCAGGATCGCAATCCTCGCCACAACCTGTGGCGCAAATGTATGTCATGAGTCAACCGCCGCCGCAAAGTCCCGCACAGCAAAGTTTCATAACGAGCAACAACGCTCCGATAAATGGAGCAGTGTCGTACGTATATACACAGCCGAACGTACAAAGGCCTGCTACGCCGTCCCAAGGAATTATCGAAACTGTTAACGTCAATTTACAACAACCTCCTCCAGCGGCGCCGCTTAATATAACGCAACAACCACCACCGCCGTTATTGCATCTTCATTTTCCGCCACCGAACTTTCCGCCAAATCAACCACCTCCTCCCGTCCCGCAAACCTATCAGATACAGTATCAACAAGTACAGGCACCTGCGTCGCAGTCGCAAACACAGTTTGTTTTACAATCTGGCGAACACATTGTTCCACCTCAGTTGCAACAGAATCATGAGCAATCTCAAGCTGTCGCTCAACATATAATACCTCCACAATTCGAAGGTCATGCACCGCCGTTCCATTTACAAGTACCTCCACCACCGTCTGCGCAAACTTTCCTAGTACCTAATGCTCAGTCTCCCCAACACCATCCACAACCACCGCTTCCTCCCGGCGGTGAAATTCAGCATCAGGAGGGTCCGGTAGAACAGGGACCACTGCCGCAGCCGGTACCCCCCCCGCAAATAGTACCGCCGCCGTCAATTAGCCAGATGCCGAATTCCATGAATATTCTTACCAGCGTACCGCCACCAACGCAGCCGCCTCCACCACAGAACGCTCCGTGGTTATATCAAGCTCAGCAACCACAACAGATACCACAACCACAAGGGCAATTGCAGGTAATGACACTTAACATTCAGTGTCTTTGTTTTCCGTTATGCGTTAGAAATATGTAATATCCTTCCTAATTATTTATAGATGCAAATACCACCGCAGAATATACCTCTTCATAACGTACCTCCACCACAAGTTCAAACTCAAATACAATATCATCCTCAACACATACAATATCAAAACGGTCATATACCAACGCAAGTGCATTATGCAATGCAACCACCGCATCAGCAATTCGAACAGAAGCCTGATTCGCCAGAACAGCAAAAATCACATGGAGTAAAAAGAAGGTTTTCCGACGTTGAAGGAGGTCAGGTAAAGTGTCTACAAGTATATGCACATCAGATTGAAATATGCTATAAAGTCATATAACATTCTTACAAATCTTTTTTAAAATATCTGCTACAGGAACCACCACCACCACCGCCATATCAATGTGCTCCATTACCTGCACAACGGCATGGCACAGGGTAAGTTAAAGAAAAAGAGAATAAACTATTTTTTTCTTATAGAGTTGCCATAATGTGTAAATTAATGTAATTTAATAAAGTTACATTATATACTCCTTGTATAAAAAATGTAAACAGTTACATGTACCTATGTATTCATGTACATTTACTTATGTACAATAGAGGAGTATATAATAAACTAACGTAACTTTACTTTATATATATATTTTTATATCTAGTTATACCTTGGTAGACTTGTGGATGGAAAAAACTTGTGTGTTTGAATAAAGTTACTCTACCAAGTGTGTAAAATTTCAAATAAACACTACTAAAAAAAGCTGATAATTTTCAGAATTATAGGATATTATAGGATAGCATAAACGTACAATGAATTTAATTGAAGATTAGAAAGAAGTTTATCGATATGAAGAAAGAAATTGATAAAGAAACTACTGCTTCAGATCGCTTATGCTTCACTTGTAGCAAGTGTAAATTTGTAAATTATTGTAGAATTACATGAAGAAAATGTAAGTCATTATTGTTATTTTTTTTTTACAGAAACCTGCTTTTGCATTATAAGGTGTTGCACAATAATATTAAAAGTGCAGAAAATAAAAATTTAAGTATTCTATGAAATTTTTGTAATAGATATTTTTTTATTCACAGATATATTTATTGCTATTCTCTAAAATCTAATAACTACTATATATGGACAAGAATTAATTTGTTGTAAGATTCAGATATATCCATGTTAAAATATAAATTATTTTCAAGCTTGTCAGCTTTTGAAAATAATTTAATTTAATAAAAAAATTTTAATTTTGCATATTTATAAATAGTTAATAATTTTATAGTTATGGATATATCTTGCTCTTTCACACACAAAATATTCCTTCCTTTGAATTTTGCATGGTTGTACAGATTTTCAAACGTATGAAGTAATTTTATTATCTTTGCAACATATACAATGCAAAGATAATAATATACTTGCATTTTCCTCATGTTACACATAATTCTATATTAAAATCACTAAATAAAAGCTTTTGCCAGAATCACCAATACATGTTTTTTTTAGTATAATGAGCCAAAAGAGACGGAATGTGCGACGATATAGTTACTACTTTGCAGAAATAGAAATTAAAATAATGATACGTAGATTATCTGAACGTATATTATAATGTCCTGCGACATTACAATTATGTTCTTCAGAATACTTTAAATGTAAGTTTTGATATCATTAACTGTGATCTGGTACAACCAGATATTTTCCACATTTCAGAAGTATCCGAGGGTGTGCATCAGGTGATTTTTGTCTTAATGCTTGAAACATTTCTGTAAAATCGTTATTTTGGAATTAATAATTCGCACCTGCATTGTTTAAGCAGAGAAGGTGATCGACAACAGCAAGTCTTACATGGCCCATCACCCACACCTGCGGGTCTACCACATGGAGATCGAAGCAAGATGCTAATGCCACCTCCACATCCAGGTCTGTAACTAAGAGTATTTAGTCTGAAAAATTGCTGGATATCTTTTGGAAATCGGAAATGTGATATTGAATATTATAAAAAGATATGCCAGTAAAAAGATTGTATTTTTGAAGAGAGCGTTTATCTTTAATTATCTCCTTACAACTTTGGACGTCTTCTTTAATACAACTTTGTTATTGGCAATTATATTTTTGTTTATTTAATATACAATCTCATGTGGTTGTATAATTTTAGTATCATAAGTAATTAAGTTTGAAAAAATAAAATGTTTCAGATAGATATCTAGCATTTTTTTCTTAATACTCTTAGACCCGTAGTATATTATTAATGTAAATAATATTTTGTGATAAGCATACTATAAAATTTTTCCTTGATCTTTTAATTTATATCTTAGCGAATTGCTTTTTTATGCATTTGTTGAGGATACCTGCAGAGATGGACGTCCGGAAATAACATGGATTATTGCAATCTCACAGTGTGCATAGAATGCTTTGACATACAGTTATCTTTAAATTTATTTATTATTATTATTTTAGATTAGACAAAAATGCATTGCACGTGTTATACAGTTGCGACGGTGTCTCAAGTATATTAATTTCAACGCTTTTTTATAGTGCCCTTTTTATTAAATAAATCTGCATTTTCAGATGCAAGTGTAACCTGTGATTTTCTACTTCAATGTTTGTTTATCCATTATTAACCATATCTAATATTAATAGGATTATGTTAAGGCATATTATACACATATATATTTTTTATATTAGTATTTTAAGTTCAATATCTTGGACTTTTATATATTCCTTAGGTTAAACGTGTGTCCGCCAAAGAAAGATCAAGGAGGGAATATATATGACTACTTAATATTATTATGTAACATTGATACGAAATGGCATATGACTTGTGGATATTATATCGTCTTATTATTATTGCAGTATTCTGAGCAGTTATCTGTAGTGGAAAAAGTGGAAGAAATTTGAAGGATATATAGTTTTAATGATTATTAAATTTACTTTATCCAGATAGCAAATAACTGTATGGCTTCAAATTTTTAGTGCAATTGATAAGCGGTAACCATCTAATACATATAAGAATGTAAAAATTGCATTGCTTGCTTTCAGACTCAAATAGCGATTGCCAAATCGCTCTGCTGATTTGGTAATGGTAAATGGCGTGAAATATTGTTCTAATATTTAATTTAGTCTTGTAAGATTAGATTCAAATTTAAAAAGCTAAATTTCTGTTTATTGCCACAGTGATACGTCTCAAGCGGAAGATGAAAACCGGCAGCAGTCTTACAATACAGATATATTCTTAGCAATTTTAGATTTATATCTAAATTCAGAAAAAATTAAATTTACATTTTTTGTTTATGAATATATTATTTAATAGATATTAGAACTGTCAAGATTAATTATGCATATTTCATTGAATACAGCGAGCATTTTTTTAAGTTTATTATTATATTACAATATTTCATCGCATAATTTGCTACATATTAAATACAAATATTATGTTATATATAATTACTTTAGATTGTGCTGTATCTTTTTTTTCATATATTATGTTTTAATCGTTTAGGTGAGAAACGGAATCTGGACCAAAAGCCTGCAGGATTATCTTCAGGTACGTTCGATGTAGAATATGTTGACATATTATAAAATATTTTATATTTTCTATGGATATTTAGATTGTTTGATACATTTTGTAAATAGGAAATGATCAAAATATAATGGCGGAATCTGGAAATATTCATGTTGGCAACGGTCCACCTCTACCACCTGCATCTTCGCCGCAGGCACCATGGCAAAATCATCACGTGAGAATTCCTTGGGGTAGACCACCGCCGATTCCAAGGGAAGGAGAGCCTCCTACAGTCTGTCCCGGATTACCTCCTATTAACATGCCTCCACCTCAGATCAGGTCACGAGGTAAGCATTTGATTCATTTATCACATTGAACTATTTTTCAATCTTGAATTTAAAATTTTCTTTGTTGCAAATTATCAAACATTTATAATTATATTAGCTTTCCTTGGTATAATAATAAATAAATAATAAAAGAGAGTTAAAGAAATAATAAACATGCACATTATCGTAATTCTCTTATTCGTATGATAAGGTAAATGTACCGGTTATTGGACAGTTAAGGAATTGTACAACGAAATCATTTATTTAAACTTTAGAAACATTAAAATTTTAGTTTATTACACATGCTTAGTAAGAATGGATGTTTTCTGAAACTAAATCCATTATCAAATATGTTATTTGCGTTTATTATAAATTGTATTTAGTCATAAATATAATATGATTCAAATGTCCTAATTATTGGACAAAAAATGTGACGTGTCTCTGTGTCCACAAAAGTATGACCCAATTATTGGACAAATAATAAGCAATTTTCTTATTATAGAAGAGAATCGCATTTTACTTATCAATCAAGATTGTTCAAAAAAGTTTATCGAAATTGTAATTAGTGAAGTTTTATATAAAGTTTTATATGTAATATATACAAAATATGTTTGCAGTAGACAGGTATGCTAAGGAATGTCCAATAATTGATAAACGCATATGTGTGAATGTCCTAATAAATGGACAATTGTCCATAAACGAAATTTTTTTTACAAAAGTATCATTTTTAATATGAATAAATTATATAATACTTAATTTCTAAATAATATGAAAAATTGCTTAAAAATTTATTTAGAGTAACACATATCATCAAAAGCTTAATATTTAAAATTGTCACAATTTATCCAACAATTGGGTCGTGTCCACGAACTGGTACATTTACTTTATATAACAATTGACAAATTTTCAAGAATGTGGTACTGTTCTCAGGTCCCACTGATGGTAATCGTTCTCCTACTCAGACCGCCGTGTTAGAGCAGCAGTTAAACGTCGAATACAATCAAATGCCGCCCTATACGACGAAACCGCCACCTTACAACGCACATCCATTGATGCAATCGATCTGCAATCCGCCACCGCCACCGCCGCCGCATCATCAACAACCGCGGCCGCAGCATCCTGCACAAACGGTGCAGCATTACCAGGTGCCAATCTCTCAGACATATCAACCGCCGACATCCTGTCCACCATGGATGAACTAAAAATGAAGCTATACTAAACAGCATTTCTTGTTATGTCACTTCTACTTAAATAATCATCAATATGATTTTGATAAATTCGACGTTTTTTTGACGAGAAATATAATAATGAAGTGCTGAGACTTTTAAGCTGCATAGATCTGACAAATGTGAATAGTTGGAATTGTGTTACGTATATTCAATTGTATGTTCCTTATGGCAATTCTTATAATTTGATAATAATCTTTATTTTAAGGAGGGGAAATACTGAACAGTATGTACAAATTTGTAAAAAAGTGTTACAAATTATTTATATAGTATAATTGTATACTAAAAAAAAAAAAGAGAGAAAGAGAGTGAATGAATGGAAAAAAAAAAGAAAAGAAAAGAGGTAGTGTGAGATTATATATAATAATGTCATGTTTGCGAGATAGTTACTTATTAATTGTAGAATACGTCTTCAAGATCACACAAAAGCCGTGATCCTTGTATAGCATATACATACACATACATTTATGTATACACACACACACACACACACACACATATATATATACTTATGTATGCATATGACACACAAAAGCATTATTATTTTAATTAAACTATTCTACCATTGCGCATTCAAAGATCACTAGTTTTGGATACTCGCATGCGAGTGATAATTCACTTAATATGTTTCCTCTCGATGAAACTATCATCTCTCCATTTACTTATAGATAGGTATGTAATAACACATAAACGATGTATGCAGTTAATGCAATTTTTTATGCAAAGCCAATAATAAATCGTTATTGCCAATTAAGTAGCTTTTATATCGACAGCCTTTCGCGTATCGTCGCGTTTCTACCACGCAGAATGGATTGCCGTTTTCCACGTCGACGCGATTTGGCAAACAACGATAAAACCGCACCGTTTCCATTTGCAGCGAGCAATCGTCGCAATTAGCCCCGTTAAACGCCGCCGGGTTGACGGGTGGAGGGGTAGCGACAGTAGCAGCGACGGCGATCAAATCCTGACCAAGGTGTCCGTGCTCCAGGGCAGCGAGGGAGTGGCGGGAAAGTGGGGTGAAATTCCGCTCGATACAAATTCGATAAAGCCGCCGGCGGCTCGCAGGACTCGCTCGTTATCCGGATCTGGCGGTCTGTTAGCCGCTACGTTAGAAAACTTGCAGTCTTTCCCGTGTGTTACGCGACCGCGTTCTCGATACTTCAGGGAAGTTTAATTTGTCGGACTCGTGATGAATTCTTTCTTCAGAAGCGATAGCTCGAGGAGAAATTTTTGCCGCGGCTTGAGGCATTTAATCTCTAGAAGTTTAACGCTCCGCTTGAAAATTGCAAAAAGAACGAAAGACAAGAAAAAATCGATTTTAATAATTAAATTCAATCTTTCTGCAGTTATTTTATTTTTAATCTTAACGAATATATGTTAATATAATATAATATAATTTTGGGCTACTATAATGTATAATTATTTCCAAATAAAAATCTTAAATATATATATTCGTTCAGTATATAAGTATAAACTATCGGAGAAATGTAGGGAACAACAATTTTTAAATGTCGTCTTGGATTGACTGCGAATACGAATTGACAAATTACACACGTCAATTGTAATATTGATTGGTAACCTTTCTCGGAAATATTTTGTGCTTCGTTAGATAACGAAGGCGATAAAGGCTGTCTCGACTGTCCCGAATTTCCAGAATCGATTATCGTAATCAGGACCATCGCCTGAACTGATTATCACATCACAGAGATGCTTGCAGCGACCATAATCGCTTTTCGGTAATGTCGCTTTGTCCGTCGTCGTCTCATCAGCTTGTCGCAGCGGCGATCGCTTTTCGACGTGCCCGCCGCAAATTTCCGAAGGACTTTGGCCTCGAAAGCACCGTCGAACGTGCATCCGGAAATACAAAGGTTTTACACCAAATCATAATTGTATAAAAAGAGTCAATGACGAGTATCTGTGCGTTGTCAGTTTTAAGACTTTCGTGATAATCTTTTTGCATTTGAGTCAGATCCCGTTTGCTTCTGATTTCGCGTCATGATTCACATCGATCGTGTCGAAGGCAATTTATTAACCGTGCAGTTTCTGACGTATGCGCATTTCCAGACGCAGGAAACCACGACAAGCCGCGAAGGGCCTATCAATCAGGTCAGATCGAGCTCCACGCTGGTGAGACGCGCATACAACTCGAGATCCGATCATGTTTGTCCAGCGAACGTGCGGAATCACGAATCCGACTACGATCGTTTCTACAACAAAGAGAACTCGATCAGCTGCAGTTGCTACCGGACAAGAAACGTCGGCGAGGAGTTGTGGGACGAGTGCAGTGGCGGAGATGCGGTCGATACCGTGCCAAGCAGAGAGCGCGAGGAGTTCGTGTCATCGGACGCCGATCGTAAAAATGAATTTGCAAAATCGGTTGACCGGGACAGGTTCGTCCCTGTCTGCGATGTTTACAGCAAATTAATTATTGGACTTTTGTTCTGTTATTACGTCAGCTATTCGCATTGTGAAAAGATACGACGTTGATAAAATGATTCTGAACAAGTCTCGTAATGGAAAAGATGAGCTTTGAACGTTTTGCTTCTTAGAATCTTGCATAAAGGAGGCAAAGCAACAGGAGCTGTGTGATGATCTACTAGATTTTTAGTTCATTTTTCAGCCATTGATATGATATTGATTTACTGAATGGACTTGTTTAGTCATGATACTTTTGATAAGTTTAGTTATAAAAAGAAAACATAATTAGGATTCTTCTTGGGCTTTTACATGCTTTTTTTTTCAAGGAAGTTATGTAGTTTACGATAAAAGCGTAGCATGAGGTTGCATCTTGCCCTGATAAAATGAACAGCAATACTTACGAAATATTGGCATTTATATTAACGATGTATCAAGACATTGAGATTTATATTTATAGTCAAATCTTAAGATATTAATGTCCGTTTCTGTCAATATAGATTAACTTTAATATCGGTTCAACTTACTTTTCATCTTTTTCTAATTTTTAGAACTAGATGAAGAGTTTTTAGAACAAGATGAAGAGTAAGTTGAACTGAGATTAAAGTTTTAATCTACTATCATTGGTGGAAATGGGCATAAGACTGTCTTAAGATGTTACGAATCAATCACAAAGTATTAACATCTTAAGGACGATCTTAAAATAAGAATCGACTACGAATGCCGCGGCCTGAGATTACGCCTAAACCGCGTAATACACACATAATTATAAACACTTCCTGAAATTATAATTATCACATACAATGCAGTTTTAGTCATCGAGAATTACCAATGACTCACGCGGCGCGGATGACAAGCTAATGAAATTGGCACGAACATGTTAAAAATATCTTTCACTTCCCTTTCGCGAATGCAGATGCGACGTACCGTCGAGATCTACGGACGGTAGCGAAGTTGTTAGATCGATAGAAAGAATCCCGCAATCCTCGCATCCAACGTCTTATTATTATTGTAAGGCGCGCTGCTCATTGAGACCAGGCTCGAACGAGGATCCCAACGTAAATCCTTCGTGCGACTCTGCATCCTGTGAGAAGCACAACAAAGTCGCGTGCGGCGACTTTATGGGGGACAGGAGCAAGGAGTTCGCGTCGACAAGTTGTCACGGAACATCCATCGATCTTGGCGGCAATGCGGAGGAGGATATCGTTACCAGCGACACTCAGGGCCATAGTTCGGATGTCAAAGACATGTGGATGAGGGCGAATACTTTGACCAAATCTCACTCGATCCATCGGAAAATTGTAGATTCAATCTGGCGATGTCAATGCGAGTGTCATCCACGCGAAGATTCTATTCCGAATCTGTCAAGATCGTCGTGCGATCGTTGCCGAGATGAGTGCTATCATCGCTATAATTATCATTGCGATTGCTCCCATCGACATTGCTGGTGTCAGCAACGCGACAACAGCTTGTGCATAAATATTAAAGGGTTAATAAGAGATCTTTTTATAATATATATTAGAGAAACAGAGAGAGAATTCCAAAACGTGGAGTCATGTGGAGGAATGTTAGGAATACGAAATGTACACGGAAAGAACGATTTTGTTGAAGTATTAAAAAATTTAGCTATAAAAATAGATCTGAAAATAATTTTGTTGGATTGTTATAGTATTACGTAGAAATTTCGAACATGATGAGAGCAATACTGCAAAAAGTTTTAATATTCAAGCATTCAATTTGAGCGTCCTATATATAATTATTTTGCTGTCCGACAAAATTATATTTTTAAATTTATATTTGACTAAATTTTTAAATACCTTAACAAAACCGCCCTTTCCATGTAACGTTGCTCATGGCAATGTGAAATAATTTATTTGTGATAAATTTTTAAAGACGAATTGATTTTTAATAGTTTTTAATAGCGTTTTGGATCGTAGCAGGTTTGAATGTGGATTAAATTAATGACGTCACATGCTCTACCAATAGTAGAGCATACAACATTATTAATTCAACTAGATCGATTAAAACTTAATACGGTCGAAAATGCTATAAGATTTAGACCAAACTTCTGATTGGTCACAAAAATTTAAACGACTGTGTATCTACAGAAATATTACATCTTGTTTTCTTATATTATGTATTAATTTTATTAAATATTGATCGTCGTGTATTTCACGCTTATTCCTAAATTTTATAAAATATCGTTTATTTTATAAAATATTATTCTAAAAAGGAAGTCAAATGAATAGAGAAGAAGGGTGGGACGAAAGATATGTGATTGAGGAGATGAAAACGCCCCGCAGCTACAATCTCTGTTTAATTCACTCTCTTCACATCATTCATATTGCAGATGTGAGGCGCGCGGGAGCGGCATCTCTGGCGAGAAAGCTCAGCACAAAAGCTGGCGCGATCAGATGCGAGGCGAGAATAGTCGATTGTACGCGCGGCAGTGCTACTCGAAGGAGTATTCTGGAATAATACCTGCCTCTCGTGAGCGGAACGACGAGGAGGAACGTAAGGAGAAGAAGAACGACGACGACGACGACGACGACGACGACGAAGACGACGATAGCGTGGTTGTTATCAATCACAAGGACTCCATGTGCATCCTCGCTGAAAAATATAAAGCCAGCAGGAAGTGGCGCGGCAGAAGGTGCGAGGATAGAGCGCAATCGGGCGACAGGACAGGGGACAAGGATGAGTGTAACAAATCGTTGACTTCGGAAATCATCGATCAGCCGGGGTCGTCGCTCGAGATCGTAAACGCCGTGGTTTCGCACGAGGGACCAAGGATGAGACACAGTTGCCGAGCTGCACATTGCGAGAACTGCGGAACCGCCGCGATCGCGAGAACGTGTGGTCGTGTATGTGGTCGACGCGAACCGCCAGAGGGTGAATTCGACCGATTGAAGTCGCCTTTGAACGGGACGGCTGCCACCCGCTGTTGCTCAAGTCGAGCGCCTTGTAGACGTGTCTTCTAATTCAATTTCGTTCCACACAAAACACGTTTGTGGACTTTTTTAATGCCAATTTTTGTATTTTCTAGTTATTTTCAGCGTCAATATTTGTACGCGTGAACTATTGGAATAAAAAAACGATTTAAAATTTATTTCAAATTTTGTGCTTTTTCATCTTATACATTTTAATCGCGGTAATAGATACTGCAGTGTATAAATTGTATAGCGATGTGCGTAAAAAATTTAAACGAAATCCTCGCGCTTTTGCACCTTTCTCTATTCCAACTGCATTGAATTTTTTCCACGAGATACTCACTCGCCCACTGTATTAATGCAGCGAAATAATATAACAGGGTATTACAACGCGCGCGCGCTAAACGTTAAGAATAAAAATTGTGTAAATCAAATTTTAGACAAGTCCATGAAACGGTTTAGCTCGTATTACTCGAATTAAATTAGCGTTATATAGGTGGGGGACAATTAACTTTTAACTCGTTTTATTCAACGATTACGATGGTCAGAGAGCCAGTTTCCGCCTGGGAGAATTTTAAGCTCACTACGGAAACGCGACACGTTAACGGAATTATCGAACGTAAGCATGTGCATTAAAAACCATGGTGTCTCCGGCATTCGGCTGCCTCCGGAGACGGCTTTTTGCTTGCTGGGCTCTTTGTGATGGTTGTGCACTCATTGTTTCGTTTCTTCTCTCGCACTGTTCGCCCACAGCTTCCATGTTAATTGGCTCATCCCGTTGGTCTTTGGAAAGGATTCCGCAGCATCCCGACGCTTTTTCCTTCCCTCCTCGGAATGTTCGGCTCCCTCTTTAACGCTGATGTTACACGTATGCGTTTGTTTCTCCGTCACGTTCCGATTTTACTTCGACCTCTCGATCTTCTTGCCAATCTTCCGGCACGCTAATTAAGTCCACCACTTTCTCGAACGATTCATCAGGCTCCTCTTCGTAAGCGAATTCCTCCTCGTCGTATTCTGTTTACATGTTTAAATGAGTAAGATTTTATTTATTTTTTTATTGTGTCGTCATTTTGATGTCAAAATTAATGACGTTGACTTTCCAAAGAATAATTATAATATAAAAATCAACAAAATGACTTTATTTTGATGCTTAAAGTCAATATAATAAACAGTCAAATTTTGTAACAAAAAATCACTTGGACGTCAAAATACGTCACTTTTATTTTTTTTTTATTTGACGTGTTCCTTAATTAAGTTACTACCTGAGATAAATTAGTATCTTTTGAAAATTTATGAAATTCTAGACTCTTTCTCTCTTTTTCTCATTGTGATATCACATTTAAAATGACTATTATTTTGTACAGTCATCGTTACCTTCCTGTGCCATGCGAGCACGTGTTAATCGATCTTTAAGAGCGCGTTGAAGTTCTTCGCCAGCTTTCGCCAAATCCTCTCGATTGCCAAATTCTACGGGGATGTCCGCACGGGTCATGACTTCGTCGAAAACTTTCTGATGCAAATTTTTGAGAATAGCTTCTACCACTGCCGATTTCGTTGACTCTATCGGCGGTTCAGAATTACTTTTTCTCTCGCGATAACGTCTGTAAGCTTTCTACATGACATTTGTGATAATTGATGATTATTATTTCTTCTCAGTTTTCTGCATATATTTGGCAAAAAACGATAATACGATGTATATATAATAATTTTACAATACAAAAATCAACTTTAAAATGATTTGATTTATTTACTTGTATAGTGGAAGCAGCTTCATTTGCTTTCATTGGTGTCAGTTCTGATTCCTCGTACATCGTATCCAACCAAGCTACTGCTGGAACGGTTTCTTTGGGTTCTATCATGTCTATCTCGCTCCCTTTCTTTTCCTCCTGCGGTTGCATCGCCTCTGCAAGAGGCCGTGAATACGATTTGAAATACTATCTTATCATAGTTCACCGAAACTCGGTGCAATCTGAATGATCTTACGCATTTTTATTTTTAAGTTTCTCCTTGTATAGTAGCCGCGGTAAGTAGCCTGTATTAAAACGGCGGCTTTTGACGCTTCTGCTTGCGAAGCTCCTGCCTTTCTCAGGATCTCGAGGGTCCTTGTTGCCGCTCGTTGCCATTGAATCATGCCACGTGACTCGTTTAATAGCATCCTCTCGTAATACCCACGGAAAGCGACCTGATTAATAACACCGAAAATGATTCAAAGAGCTGCGATCAACATTAAAGATCCATAACAGAGAAGGTTTCGTCAGGTCTCGTAAGGTAATTAGCGCATACTTGTATTATCGTGGCATGCTTCTCCGCCAGTTCCAGCGAGACCCCCGTCGCTTGCAAAATACTTTGCAGAGATACTTTGGATTTCTCGTCGCAAGTCGTGTCTGTGGTCGAAAGCGGAAGAATGTCTCTCGCGTATTTTTTGCCCGTTACATGTTACAGAAATACCGCGCGTGCGGCGGGTCTACCCGCCGCAAAATTGTTTTTCTACATAATTCACCGTGTAATTACCGTCGCACACCTGGGTCGCTCGCATGTCTGCCGCGTCCAAGTACGCGCGGAACGCCGTCTGAACCGAAAAAAGTATGGAAAGAATGTCTGAAATATTATTTAACTGCTGGATCTTTATCCGGCACGCGACAGTAAATTCTATACCTGAATCCTGGGCGCGGCGCGGGCGATCTGCTCCAAACTCAAGCCGCTCCGGTGAAGTATACCCACGATGGCTTGACTCCCCAATAAAATATTGTTTACGACTTTCACCGCGACTGGAATTGTACAATAGATACGACTGTAGAACGCGATGCACGATTATAGTGCGATTTACGATTGTCGCGCGCATTTTACCGCACGCGGATGATATACGCGCGGTCATTCACTGCAACCTTTGAATTAACATAATGATTCGTGAGACAAACTGATGTACCAGTACGCGTGCATGTAAACATTATAGTAATTAATTAACTTAACGTTCCAATTAGCGTCTGTTTGCGAATGATATATAATCAAGACATGCGAGTTCACATACGTGAAACTGTTGTTATAAACGACAGAATACCTTTTGCATTTTCCCGTGTGATCAAAAGCGCTTCAACGTAATCAGCAACAAAGCAATAAATGTTCCTCGGTTGCGAGCGTAGAACCTTTACGGATCAGATAATAATTTAATCGTCCTTTGACGTGACGGTAAGTCAAATAACGATTTCATAGAGCCAACCTCGCGTGTGATGTCGGTGCATAGTTCGCGTAATCCTTCCGGGACCTTACATATATGTTTAGCACCATGTTTCTGGAGTAAAACGTTCATTTTCGTGATTATCGTTTCAGCCGAGTTGCTTGAATTTATCGACTCTTGCTCTTATCGCGAGTAATACGATGCGCAAAAGTTGCTAACTTTCGGTGGTAACGAACGCATTGATGAAGCTATATAGAAGATATATAGTGTAGTGAAAAAAAGTAGAACAGACTATACAGTGTTGGTCTCTGGATGAAATAATACCAAGATAAAATCATTAAAAATATGTACGAATAAATTATAATTCCATTAACTCCGATTATCATTTTATCAGCGTTAAATCGCGCTAAAGTTTAAACTGACGAGATTATTCCATGATCTCCCCCCCCCCCCCTTCTCCAAGACATTTCTCGATAACACACGCGGATAAATTATTAGTGTTTATTTTGACATTGTTTTATTAACATTTCTACGAATGTCTTTAACATTGTTATCCTCGATATCTTTGCTTGACACAGTGCCACTTTGCGCCGTTAGCAGAATGATCTCTACATTATCGTGGGGTATTCCGCGTGTTGACTGGATCTGACGTAGAACACGCGGTCAGTTCATCGTCGACTATGAGCGACGAAAGCCATGCCAGTTACGAACGCATGCGTTGTGTTCTCAGTGACTCTGTCGTTTCTTGCCTTACTGCCGTCGCGTGAGTAACTTACATAATGTTTTGATCCACTGTTGTTTTCCGACGCTGTCTTGCCGCTCCACCGAGTTCCGTGCGAAGAATAGCCAGGAAAGTTCGCGACTTTGCGCAACGATGCGATTTAATTGCGAAATTAAGCATCGCATTCTCATCCTACACGATATTATATCGTCGAATAACTGGACAAATCTTTAAGCAATCAATGAAATTAATCTGACATGTATAAAAAAAATGACCTGTCCGTAAAATTCGATTTGTAATAATCAAATATAGTGTGTAATGTACAATGAGAATATTCTCAATATTAACACACATCGCGATGTTCCTGAAAAGTTCTTCTGTATTTAAAATTAAAATGGAAATGTGACAGAAACCAAACATAATTCCTGTTTGCTGGGTGACAATTGAATATTCATGAACTAACGCGCGACTACGAATTCCCTCACAAGTTTACATTGACCGGTTTTTGCAGTATTCAAAGATCGAAGCAATCGTGCTCTATACACAAAATCCTTGAGAATAGTTTATAAAATTTATTTCTGTTTCTGTGTACATATATTTCTTTTTTTATCTGTAATAAGATCAAGTTAATCGATTTTTCCACTAAATGACTGAATAATTTTCTTCTTTGCGATTGACTAAATTTTAACATGAAATTAATATTAATGGTTCTCGTATACGTGATAAAAAAGAATTTTTGAGAACCAGCATTTACGTAGAAATTATTTACTCTTTTAGTGTCTCTACAGGATCGTGCGCAGACTTTGGACTATGGCTTTTCTGATCAATACGAAACAACAGCGAATGGCCCACCAGGTCGTTCCAAGTGGAGCGGCAATACTGATCTTTCCGGACCACCGGGTCATAATAAATGGGGGGGTGGTGGCAAAGGGCCACCAGGTGGTCATGGTCCTCCCGGATTAGGGGGCGGCGGTCCTCCAGGATTGATTAGTAAACGTCCTTCGGGCTGGAACAAAGAGGACACCGAAAATTCATCCGAAGGTGAAAACTATCCACGTCCAAATAACAATGGAAACTATCCACGTCCAAATAACAATAAGAATCATCCACGTCCTAATAACAATGCAAACTATCCACGTCCAAATAACGATGAAAATTATTCACGTCCAAATAAAGGTGAAAACTATCCTCGTCCAAATAATGACGAAAACTATTCACGTCCAAGTAACAATGAAAACTATCCACGTCCAAATAACGATGAAAATTATTCACGTCCAAATAAAGGTGAAAACTATCCGCGTCCAAATAATGACGAAAACTATTCACGTCCAAGTAACAATGATAACAATCCACGTCCAAATAAAGGTGAAAACTACCCACGTCCAAATAATGACGAAAACTATTCACGTCCAAGTAATAATGAAAACTATCCACGTCCAAATAACGATGGAAATTATTCACGTCCAAATAAAGGTGAAAACTATCCGCGTCCAAATAATGATGAAAACTATTCACGTCCAAGTAATAATGAAAACTATCCACGTCCAAATAACGATGAAAATTATTCACGTCCAAATAATGACGAAAACTATTCACGTCCAAGTAACAATGCAAACTATCCACGTCCAAATAACGATGAAAATTATTCACGTCCAAATAAAGGTGAAAATTACCCGCGTCCAAATAATGATGAAAACTATTCACGTCCCAATAGCAATGCAAACCATCCACGTCCAAATAAAGGTGAAAATTATCCACGTCCAAATAACGATGAAAATTATTCACGTCCAAGTAACAATGATAACTATCCACGTCCGAATAACGATGAAAACTATTCACGTCCAAGTAACAATGATAACTATCCACGTCCAAATAATGATGAAAATTATTCACGTCCCACTAACAATGCAAACCATCCACGTCCAAATAAAGGTGAAAACTATCCACGTCCAAATAATGATGAAAACTATTCACGTCCAAGTAACAATGATAACTATCCACGTCCAAATAATGATGAAAATTATTCACGTCCCAATAACAATGCAAACCGTCCACGTCCAAATAACAGTGGTTCTACTCAAAGACCTTATCCTGATCACAATAGAGAGGGCCCCCATGATCCAGACGATCGCATATCCGATCGAAATGAATATCCACAGAATCGACAGTGCAGGTACATCTGACTGCCTCTCAGTTAAAAATATATAATTCTTTATTAATATAATGTATGACGGAGATGAGACTTACTTCATATTCGTATTAATTAAAGAATTAACAAGAATATTTTAATTATTTTGAACCAGAAACGACGAATTTCATTGCCGAAGTAACGAGTGCCTACCGCGAAGAGTTAAGTGCGATAATAAAATTGATTGTCGCGATTCTAGCGACGAAGAATATTGTATGGCGTAAGTTAAATGCTTCTTAATTACGTGTTTTTATATCATCTATGTGTCTTCTTTAAATGCTTCTTCGAAATTCATTACTTACAACATAAATAAATATGATAATAATACTTGACTCAGACATGTAATAAACACACTTGACTTTTTTTCTTTACCGTTACCTTTCTGATAGCCTTCTGAAGGAGGCTATCTCTTTTTATTTTAAAATCTCAGTATAGAATTTTACATATTCGCGGAATTATAGGAACAGAAATAATGATGACAGCTGCGTTCTGCCTGAACAACCACAAGGCGGGAATTACGAATTGGGTGGTTGCGATGAACGTTGCGATAAACGTCCTGGTGATACAGTTCCTAAAAACAGTTTCCTCAATTATACCTGTAAAAGCAATTACATGTTGAGAGGAAACACCATTTCCGTTTGCGTCGACAACGAGTGGTATCAGCCGCCTTCATGCCATAGTAAGTTCACTTCAACGGTATATTTACTTTTAAAAGTACTCTGAGTGACGTTAAGTCTTTCTGCTAGAAACAACATTCTTCTTATTTAATGACGCGTCGTGTAATATAAAATTTATTGTTTCCGTTGATTATCCCCGTAGAAATCTGCTCGTCGTTGAACAGTACCAGCGTAGACATTTCCTGCAGCTACCACGGGAAAACGGTGTCCTGTAGCGAGCGTATACTCCCCGGTACGCAGGCTACACTCGCTTGTAAATCATCTTATAAATTACCTTTAACGAACGATCCAGCTTACAGGGAGATCACGTGTCTCGACGATGGTTTATGGGATCATCGCCTTTTTCGCTGTCTACCAGGTACTTGTCATTTGCATGCTTCCTGATGTGAGGAACGAAAAACGAAAAAGTCTGGACGGATTGAACGTCAACCGCGTGCATGTTACCATCCATTAGTAGACCACATGACGTTTTTCTGCAGTAATTGCCGTCTGAGAGCGTATAAGATTGCAGTTTCGAGACTTTATTCCGGCTAGTGATTTATAATCCGGTCGCCCGTCTACAATTATCGTGCCGTCGTACTGCAAAAATATTAACGACATTCTGGTTAATTAGAATGCGGAACGTCCATCGCGCACGGCAACACGTTAATCGTAAACGGATTCCAAGCTAAAGCAGGGGTATTTCCATGGCACGTGGGTATTTACGCCAAGGAGAGTAGGGGCATATACCAGCAGATATGTGGCGGCACTTTAATTAACAACAATCTCGTCGTATCAGGTAAATTATCGCGCTGGTGAATCATTTTATTCTTAGATTTACTCTCGTCGCGTGCATTTGTAGCTGCTCACTGTTTCTACGATGAGGTATACAACAAACTGTACAACGAATCGAAATATGCCGTGGCAGCCGGCAAACATTATCGTGATTGGAACGCTAGAGAGAAATACGCGCAGAAATCATTGGTGGAGAACATCCAAGCGGGCGGCAGGTACCAGGGAGCGAGAGGTAATTTCGCCAACGACATAGCTTTACTCAAGTTGAAGACGCCTTTCGAGCTGACTACTTTAGTGAGGCCCGCCTGCATAGATTGGGACAATGCGCACGAAAGGGAGCAGCTGCAAGTGGGGCACAGTGGCAAGGTAACGCGGAGGCCAAGTATCAATCGTGAGAATCGTCTTAGCGCAATTTAATTAATTACAAAGGCGCTTTGTAATGTCCGAGCGAAAGTACATTTGGCACTAGTTGTAAACTGCATTAACAACCTAGTTTTGAACTAAACTTCAACTGCGCGTGCATGCTCGGCTATTGCTACACCGTGTCCACGTTAATTGTTGCGAGTGCACGCCGTACTCACGGGGCGGTTTTGCATCTGATCGCGAGTGGGGGATATTTAATTTTTGTGAAATACGGCGGCTTGCTTCGACCATATCGTTCGAGAAGGAAGGTAGAATGAAATGTAAAGAGAAAATAAAAACGGACACGTGAGCTCACTTCGTGATTTCAGGTGGTCGGCTGGGGTAAAGATATCAAAGGCGAATCCACCAAGAGCTTACAGGAAATTGACATGCCGTTCGTGCCGTATGACCAGTGTTTGTCCACGGTTCCTACAGATTTTCGAGGATACCTCACGTCCGACAAATTCTGCGCCGGTCATTTGAACGGTGAGTTTACTTATGTGTAAACGTCTGCTAAATTTATTTGCTTGCTCTCATATGACAAATTTGTAAGATTATCGTGGTAATTGATAATATCAAATACCTAATGATGATAATAAATGAAGTAATCGTAATGATATAGTTGCATATCTCTCTGAGAGATACAAATCAAACAAATTGTGATTCTCTTCAGTGTTTTATAATCGTTCGTAAATGAAAATAATTGCATAATTATCAGGTTCAAGTGTCTGCGACGGAGATAGCGGTGGCGGCTTGTGCTTCCAGAAGGATGGCGTTTGGTATCTTCGCGGCATTGTGAGTGTAAGCCCGGAGAACAAAGGCACCTGCGATTACAACTCGTACGTTGGATTTACTTCCATCAGTCACTTCCGTGATTGGATTCGCGAGGCCTACGTGAGCGCGTAAATGTTTCGTGGGATATGTGACAGAGTTGTGCGAACGCGCGAAATATATCGCCGTATCATCGAGTCTGCCGGACAGTTTTTTGATGTGACGTCAAAACAAGATAACCGCAACAAAGCATTGACAATTATAAATCTTCTTCACAATTTTTTAGCATCGAATGGCAGAAACGTGAAAATGGAAGAATATAGAGATTTAAAGATTTGCGCGATATAAAACTGTTGAAAACGCACTATTATCTCTGAGAGACATTTTATCGAATATGATTTATAAAAAGTTTCAAATGCCTGTACTGTGTACGATACTCTTTTATCATAATAAAACTCTTTAATTATACTATACACTTGTGACGTACGCTTAGGAATCAACAAGGAAATTATTATGCTCGATCGTTTCTGCGTCGCTGCATAATTACTCCCACTTCGGTCTTCCACGGTCATGTAGATAAGTATCTTCGTGCACAAAGTTGACGCAATATGAAATCGACTGCGTTTTCATATGAGTAACAATCCTGTTGCTACAATCGTGACGTTTACTGCGCTATCATGTATATACATTTCCACACGTTGTTGGAACATTTTTTAATGTTAGTACGCGAACGCAGATCGAGCCGTATCGAAATGCAATTGAATGACGAGCGCCGTGACGGACGTTCTGTAGGATAGCTTTATCTGACAGAAATCTAAATTAGTAACGCGTCGTTTTATTTACAGCGGCGTCGCGTCATCCGTAACGCAAAGCACGGTGTCGTCAGGGTTTCTTTTGTTTTTTGTTATTCCGGCGCATCGGTGTCTCCCGCAGGAATTTCCCAGCGGTATCGAGATTATCTTCGATGGGTATCGGTACCCACATGGACTTTGTTTTGCGAGCTTACTGTCTCTCCTCGATAAATTGAGTTCCGGAGTTTGATGACGCATGGGTTGTGTAGCCAGAGCTATTTGAGCTTCATATTTCCCACAAATTCAACGAGATCACATTCCTATGATGATTATGCGTAGCGAACGCACGGTAGATAATTAATATCGCGCCCTTATTGTCGTTGGAAATAATAATTTCTTGCGCATATGTGTATATGTATGTATGTATGTATGTGTGAATGTGTGTATGTGTGTGTGTATGAACGAGTGGTTCAATATTTCAGAATATTCTACGAAGTGCACATATATGTAGTACGAGCGATTGTTCCAGTCAGGAAACGTATGTGTATCTTGCGAGTTTCACGATATGGACGACATACCTCTAACTCATTAGCTATTAATTATTTAATTAGAACTACCGTGTTTTAGAGCGCATAATACGTGCCGTGCGAATTTATGTATTCAGCGGTGTCGGATACATACGCGTATGCATGTGTTTGTGTCTGGGAAACCCACGTTTGCTCCCTGCAAGATTCATACATTAACAGGATGTGTTTGTTTGCTCATTGGTAAACCGTAGTATGATCATTACACTAAGGTTGAAGGTGGGTAACAGAACGCGTACATGCGGATCAGCTCGATAAGACTCGATCAATACGGCAGGGAAATCTAGTTTGAAACAAAGCCATTTTCAAGCTTGCGTAACGAGAGACCCGGTACTTCAAAATTCACACCAGCGCTTTCGAAGTTACAAATTTGCAATAAACATTTCGTCTCTATGTTAGTTTTATTCTAGAGATGAATCAATTTTTTGTATTTCGATCACAGCACATATTTATTAATAAAATTATTTAACTTACATATATGGTATATATATATATATATATGCAATTATAAGTTTGTGAATTTCTCGACGATTCTTCGCGCACACTTTGCAGGAATATCATACGGACGGGTCGCTAAGGGATGGCCGGATGTCGAGATAATTGAAACAGGACGAACTTATTAACCGACTCGTTTCCATTCTTTCCTTCGTCGTCAGCTTCGCGACGCTTTTGTGCATTAACACCGAACGAGTGTTTTAGCGCGGCCCTTATCCCATCCAGGATCCTGCGCAAGTGTATTTTTCTTTGGGCTTTTAATTAGTCCGGTCATTAATTAAACACATTTCTCCTTCGGGCATCCGTTCGTCGACGTCCGCGTCCTCTTCCACTGTTCATGCACCTCTCTGTCCTCATTCCCTTTCCTCTCGCGGCTAGCCGCTCGCTGGCACTCGCTCTTCCTACCGGGAGCTACCTCACAACACTTCAGGAATTTTAATTTCGCCCTAACGTGTAAACACGCCGGCGCCAATTTATTTCACCACGGGGAGCGTTTTAAAAGGGAGGTTCGGGCCCGGCCGACCTCGCTTTCTCCGGCTTGCAGCCTGTTTGCCCTTAACTTTAATTTTCTCTCTCTCTCTTTCTTTCTCTCGTTTTCTCTCTCTCTCTCTCTCTCTCTCTCTCTCTCTCTCTCTCTCTGGCAACTAGATGCGTTTCGCGATTTACGATACTGCAAAATAGCCGCGGGCCTCGATATGAAGGAAATTGAAGGCCGTAGAATACCAGTAAACGACGTACCGGCAAACGACGGTTAAAAAATATTGGTAGATAATATGAGTCTTTTGCCAAACAAAAATATTATTACACATAAAATATGATTTTTCTAATATCTCGTATCTTTATTTGTAAAAAGAAAATAATAATTATATCATTTTATATCATGATTATAGAAATAATCGACTCGATTGTCCGCCAATGGTTGGCTATTCGCTGAAATAGCCATTCTACGGTAGGAGAGCGTACGTTTTCTGCTCATAGCGGATAAACGGAATTGCTTCACGTCGGATGATTAGTGTCGAGCTTAACAGCGTGGAATAATGCCCGGGATTACGATAATTAAAGAGTGTGATTAGTTTTATTGCGACCGAATGGCGGTAATAAAATGAACGGTAAAAGTCTCCGGCGGATAAGGAAAATTAACTTATAAACGCAGTTTTGTATTTTATTCACAGCTTCGTTCCCTTGGCTGCTACGAAATGATATTTCCTGTGAGACGACGTATATTCTAGTTTCCAATAATCGTTATAAATCGTATCATGTCGCCGCTTAATCGCGACGTGATGGGATAACCTGTTTAATGCCCTTATTTAGCGACATTATATGCGGCTAAAACGATGCTCTTCGGGTATTCAGGTCAAAAGGCTGCACTCCTTTTAATTCAGCGATGCTGGCGGAGAAAATGGAACAAATACACTCCGTGATAATTTAACTCGAGTTCCGGGATCTTCCCCCTCACGGCCTTATCCTTTGAAATCCTTTAATGGGAATTCTTTGCGACTACTGTGAGATGACTTAACTCAGTGATAATATTATTGTACTTGGTCTGAAACTTGGTGAGGACTCTTGATACGCGAGAGAAATGAAGGTTGAGCTGTTTCGCGAAAAGGGAAACGGTCAACCCTTTGTGACATTTTCGGCAGAGCGCTTGAAAATTAATCAGCTTGAAGATACTCTGATTAGACCTCGCAGTGTGGTTTCAAACTAGTTTCATTATTTTTAAGAACGTGTTTCGCGGATGAAGAACATATGATTAGCATCAGAATAACATATAATATATTTTGAACACTATTACGAATTTTCAAAACATAAAAAATTTCTTGTTAGACCTTTTCTGCGACGATTACTTGTTCGACATCCATGAAGGATAAATGTTATTAGCGGCAACCTTATTATGATTCTCAATTTTCTCTAATTTATTAATGTATAGAGTGAAATCATACGGTCGTTGAACTCAAATGTGTGGCTTGGTACATCGATCCAACTAGTCGTTCGAGAGAGATAAAGAGAGAAAAACGATTATTAAAAAAAGTATAGTAAAAAAAAAAAGGAATAACGAGGAGAAAAGGAACCGTATCTGGTGGAACCGTTCCGCGCATAAAACGCGAGTAGGAGCACGAACGAAAGGTAAGATAATGGAAAGTTGGAAAGAGCGCCGATCCTTACACCGGGGACAGATGGAGAGATGTGGAACGGCAATACTTCAAATTCATTTGCGCGACAATCTCCGGTTCCTTTCGCTTCGTGGCTCCTGCGCAACCTGCCGTGCCAATAAAATCAAAAGTTCGCCTCGCTGGAAGCGACGTTGATAGCTCGAGAGAAATGGCAAGAGAGGGAGGGCAAGAGCGTGACTTGATAATTATACGCATCATAGAAAAGATGAATACTGTTAGATATCAAAGAGGTAGTAATGGTAACCCAATCCTTTGAGTTAAAAATATTTTGTTATTTTTAACTTCCATGTGTGTCAAAATGTAAAAAAGAACCACTGTGTTAAAAATATTATAAAATTTAATATACTATACTTTTAAGTTGCACTAGTTAAATTTAATTTCATAACATTAATTACATTACATTAAATTTAATATATTTGAAAAGTATATTTTTGTGTTCACATGTATATAAAATTTAATGTAATTCCCATAAAAAATTTTATGTGGATTTACATGAAATTTATTACACATATTCATTATATTTAAGACTATTGTAACTTAGTTTTTAGTTGAACTATTCATTACTTCTTATACTTACCTCATAATCACAAGCTTTTGTATAATAAAAACGAATTATTATTAAAAAATAAAGAACTCAAATGGCTACGAGTATATGCTAAGATGAAACAATAATGAGGATGACCCAATAAAAGTAGAAATGTTTGATTATGTATTAAATTTATTGTTTATATTAAAGGGCAACTTACATCTTAGCATAGACTCGTAGCCTTTTGAGTTCTTTATTTTTTGAAATTTAGGTCTCAATTGTGTGATTTTAAGAATTATTATTACATATTATTTGAATTCATTACGAAATTTCTAATAGAGTGTGTAATTATATTTAAAGTAAACAATGTTTATATCCACAGTAAATAATAAAACTAAAGAGTCAAATTTACAATTTCATGAATTAAACTGTTCAATTTCACTTTTTTAATTAATTGACGGCATATTGAGTAGAAAGTGACTTATAGGAATAATTAAAAATATTCTAAAATTATAAGTATTCAAATTAATTAAAATTAACATTATAAATTTAACAATGTATCCTATTCCATATTAAAATCGTGAATTAGTTCTTATTATTTATTCAATTAATTTTATAATTACATTCAAAAGATACGTATTGATAATTTTTTAAAATATAATGATTTTTATGATAAAATTTGTCTTTATTATACATTACGCTGCCCTAATCGAAATTTCAACATTAATGTATGTACTTAGTGCATAATAAATTACATTTAAGTTTTTAACATGGACATTTTTCAGTTAAATTATTTATTACATCGTTTTAATTAAATTAAAGACATTATATTAAATAGGATAGGAATAGTGGCGACTTGT